TGTTTTATATCTCTTGCGGTGACTGGGCTTTTTTACAACCAATTCAAAAAGCTCCATGGAAGATGCAAGTCGAGAATATTGATCTCATTGTAATGGGATATTTCAGGTTTAAAAAAAAAAGAAGATTCTTTTAACAGCAGTGTACACCTTGCTGCTGTGAAACGCCAACACAAAGTAAAGTTTATTACAGTCTAATTGCAAGCTACACAAGCACATGTACATTAGGACTGACATCTAACACATAGGGAGGGTGCCTGATGCATCCATCACAGACTGACAAGGCCGACCTAACGCATGGCGGAAACAACACTCAGTAAATTAAACCCTGCAATTAATGAGATCTAAAAACATGTGTCGGACTGCACCCCAGCTTTCACGCCTATCGACCGCCTGCTGTTTCCCCTTCTTGGCCAATACCACTGGGACTGTATTATAATCAATAGGGTCATGGATTCAAATTAGCAACTCATAAGATATGCGTGAGCCATTGTTGGAAATACACGCTCGCCATCGACTGCTGCCGCTTTGTCCATTACTTTTATGGGTCCCGGGGTTGATTGTTGTACTGTAATAATGCAGGCGAAGGAGTATTGTGCAACAGAATCCAAATACAGAGGCCGTGGTGGAGAGGCAGGTCATTCATTTGAGCCGATAATTGTGTTCACTCAGCAGATTAGACGTGACTACACCTCCACACTGCAAAACATGATAAAATATGATGTAATAAATGTGCTGTTATAGAAATATTTTAGTAAAGCAATCTGAATTAACACCTAATAGTTATGAGTGTAAGTTATTTACTAATAGTCAACTCTGGATTCAGATACAGGCCATAAATGCTCTGTTGGCTCAGGTCGGTGATAGATGGAGACGTGCTGCATCATGTCTTTGACCTCATCTGGGTCATAGAACAATATGTTCAGTTCAAAAGCAGATTGTTACATATATCAGAGTTGTATCAGCGTTAGGAGGCGTAAAGAGAAGCCTTGAGCAACACATATCAATGTTGACTTCATTTATGTAATATCTAGAGTAGATATGTGTTTGTTTACTCTGGTCTATTTAATGTACAGGCATTTCCTCAATCGTGGCAGTCGATTTCGGACGGCTGCAGGTGGTATTGGTATCGGTTCTGTTATTCATTGTAATTGTGCACATTTACTAATGAATAAACTCACACTTTGTTTGGAATTACAGCTCTGGGTTGTTTACATTATTTTACTCTTGTTATGTGCAGTAATTCTACAACAGTGCAAATTGAGTTTTTTTCATTTTAAAATTTGCCAATGCAACAACGCCATTTTGTCTGAACTGTTGCTTTATTTTCTTGTTTTAAGGCAGTCAAAATGTGCTCAAAATAAGATACATTTTGCAGCATTTTTTGACTTATTTGTCAGAATTTTTTCATTGCACATGTGTCTGAAAGGGTTTCTTGGCAAACAGGCAGAAGACGCTGTGAGAATAGATAATAGACTGCTGTAAGATATAAGACAATAAAAAACATTTGTATATGAAGTCATGGTCCTGAACAAAACTCAAACTGCTCATAAGTGGTTGACCTGTAAGATATACGACGGACCGAATGGCAGAGGCAAATAATCAACGATAAAATAAAAGTCCAGGTGAAAACTAAACTCAAAATCCAAAATATCAGACTGGATACTTAGTAGAAGGAAGTCTTTAATGCATGGACAGCAGAGGTGACTGGTCTCGCTCCTTAAATACTCGTTACAAGCCCCAAGGAGGGGGTTGAAGAATTATTTTAACTAAAGTTCTTTTGAAGAAACCTGCTCAACTTGAAGTGCTCGTCACAATTGGCTAAAAGTGGCATTATTAAAAACTCAGAGCATTCTCAGTATTTTTTCCTCTGTCCACCATTTTGAAGGTCAAGGCCCCCGCTGAAAGACCAAGTTTGAAAGACCCATTAGTTACACAGTGACATCCTGTTTTCACATTGGGAAAATAAGCTGCGACTGTATTTAGGACTATCCGACATGTCCAGAGCGACTGTCTGAGACCACCGCAAAGAAGAGCTAATTGAGAATCGGTTTGGCAACAAAAAGACACAAGTCTTAACAACATGTCGATCCAACGGAGGAAGCCACAGAAATTGCTTTTTTCCACCACGGGTGATGAGTAGAGGAGCCAAAAGGGATAGCTACTCTAAAGTGAAGTTAGTTGTCACTCACCGAATCATTTTTCACAGAGAAAGGTTGCGGCGACTTTTGGTTTCACTGGTGAAATGTTTGATCCATATTGCATCCCTTATATTCGTTCACATGCCGATATATCTTCCCGCCTTTACCGCATACCCTGCTATTGCACTTCTGTTTGGCTTTTTATTTTCTATCGCAGAAACATATTGAAACAGAAATATCTCCAAATAAGTCAACACAGTTTTCCCGTCTTCGCTGAAATGAATGGGACAGATGAAAACCCATTATGGAGTTCTCTTGAGTGTTGCGAGGAGGAGACCGTTGCCTCACGCAGCTGATGTGGTGAAAGCCGTGCAAGTGAAAGTGCTGAGACATATTGGGGAAGTTCTTTTCATTAGGCAAACTTTGTCGCGGTCCATCTGTTCCTTCGTGAGTGAATCTGTCATGTATGCGTATTCGTGATATAAAGACCATATTACAGCCCTCTGACAACAACGGAGAACCACCATCTTGGGATTGACTTTAGTTCTCAGAGAGTTTTAGACCACTGATGACTGCACGAGACAATGTTGTTTTTGTTGTTCATACCATTTATTTTCATACTTGACTCATACTTGCTGAACTCAATCGGTTCCTTCAGCTGTCAGACTGTACAACAGACCTGGATGAGTCTTCAGCTGCTGGACACCTGAACTTCTCCTACGGAAGATCAATAAAGTTTCTATCTATTTATCTATCTATCTATCTACTGTATCTATGTATATCTATCTATCTATCATTAATAGAAAGAAAATGGGTTTCTTAGTAATGGGAAAAACTAATTTGGACCACTTGTATCTGCGATTTTGTCCTTTCGGTCATTACCCAAGGCTCCATAGGTGTGGGTGGGAAAATCTACTAATTACTGGTAAATGGAGACTTCAGCCCGATACAGCTCTGAATGTTCATCACAACAGACCGCATCACTGCACACGCTGCACCGTTCTGCCTGTCAATTTCACGCTCCATCCTTCCCTCACTCGTGAACAGGAACCAGATACATAAACTCCTCCAGGACACGGCAAGACACCTTTTTCTAGTCGAGCACCATGGTCTGGGATCTGGAGTCACTGAATTTCATCTGTGTTGTTTTAAACACACTCAGCTGCAAGCCTCAGTGCATGTCGGAGGTCCTGGTTCGATAAAAGTCAACTGTAAACAGAAAATAATGAAATATTGTGACTTCATCCGTAAATTGCAGCCTCTAGAAACCCATAAAGACGGGGAATAAAACTGGTGACATAGAGCAGTCTTGACAAAGGAGAACAATGGAAACAGACCTGACTTACTGCCATCTGTCTGAGAACATCTGTGAAATGTCTAAATGTGTGTAATCCATGTGAGTCTCTTCAGTTCAAACATATTGCTATGGACAATTTTATCAGATATATCAACACTTTACTATAATGCTCACTTACCTTCTTATATTATTGGGATTGAGCTAAAGAGCAACCTGTTTAACTTTATCTCGTCATCTATACTCACACATGGTATCTCTGCGCCGCTCTGTTAGGCTTGAGAAGTTTCACTGGGAACATCAGACAGCTGCAGAGGACACATTTCACCGCTCACTACCTCCTGGTACTGGTCAGGCTTGGATTAATCAACTAAAGAAGTCACCTCTCAAAGCTCATGACGGCACGCATGTTTTAAAGATGAAAAATCAGGACTTTGAAACCATCTAAGCAGGATTGAGATCTATAGTAATAATAATACTTTGTTTATTCTGTGTCAATCTCAAAAGTTTTTTACAACATGCTGTATCAAGCCCACAATCCTCTCCTCAGCAGAAATAATAAATTACCACATTTATGCATAGGAGGGAACAGGCCAGGACTTGATAATCAACTGCCCACCCAAATGAGCCAGCGCTCCCACTGAGGAGGAGTAATCTTGTGGAAGGAGAATTTGACTGATGAACCGAGCGGCGGGTGCATCCATCACTTCTTACAGTGGATAAATACAGCCTTCGCCAAGGTTATGCTACCTGTCTGCAATCATTTGATGGGCTTGTGCATTGTTTATGAATCAAGATGGAGCGCTTAAGTATATAACAAAATGCAAAAGAAAATTAGGAGCAGTATGTGATAATTTGTGGTACTGCAACCTCTCCTACTCTCCCTGACTCAGGTTGCCAGATATGCAGACAAATTCAGCTGGGACCATATTATCTGAAAAGGAAAAAAAAAATATCCACAACCAACACATTTTCCATAAAGGCCCCGATAGAAATCTTGGTAGATTTGATACCAGGTTTGATTTGATAGAAATCTCCGTGTTTTGTCATTGATGTTTTGAGAATCATAACGAGAGCTTTTTTAGTTCTACCGCCACATTGTACTTTACCGGTGAGATTTGCTCGATGCGGTGATTTCTGGCAACCCGGATCACATCGACTTGCTGATTGGTGAAAGAGTGGAGGGCGGGGCATTGAAATTAAAACAATAACAAAATTTAAGGGCTGACTCCGCTGAACTGCTGTTTTTAGTTTAAGAAGTATTTGAAAAGAGCATGTTTTGTTAATGCCTTCTGATTAGGGCCATTTAATGATGACTTGACATGAAAATCTTACATATTGCTCCTTTAACTCTAACAAAACATTGGTAAGATAAGATAAGATAAACTTTATTGTTCCAAGGGAAATACACTGCTCCACAGATTTTCAAAAACACAAATAAAAAGGAATATTACAGGAAAAAACATAGACAGAAGTGCAGTAGTGCTTTGAAGTAACTGTTTGGTCCAATTTTGCATCAAAAAAAAAAAATAGGTCCTCGATAAAAAATTTAATAAAAAATACATTCATTATTCATTGTTAGTGAGAGAGGGCGATGGTGAGAGGGGGAGAGGGTGAGAGAGGGAGAGGGTGAGAGAGGGAGATGGTGAGAGAGGGAGAGGGTGAGAGAGGAGAGAGGGTGAGAGAGGGAGAGGGTGAGAGAGGGAGATGGTGAGAGAGGGAGAGGGTGAGAGAGGGAGAGGGTGAGAGAGGGAGATGGTGAGAGAGGGAGAGGGTGAGAGAGGGAGAGGGTGAGAAGGGGAGATGGTGAGAGAGGGAGATGGCGAGAGAGGGAGATGGTGAGAGAGGGAGGGGTGAGAGAGGGAGATGGTGAGAGAGGGAGATGGTGAGAGAGGAAGAGGGTGAGAGAGGGCGATGTTGAGAGAGGGAGATTGTGAGAGGGGGAGAGGGTGAGAGAGGGAGGTGGTGAGAGAGGGAGATGGTGAGAGAGGGAGATGGTGAGAGAGGGAGAGGGTGAGAGAGGGAGAGGGTGAGAGAGGGAGGTGGTGAGAGAGGGAGATGGTGAGAGAGGGAGATGGTGAGAGAGGGAGATGTGAGAGGGGGAGAGGGTGAGAGAGGGAGATGGTGAGAGGGGGAGATGGTGAGAGAGGGAGATGGTGAGAGAGGGAGAGGGTGAGAGAGGGAGATGGTGAGAGAGGGAGAGGGTGAGAGAGGGAGAGGGTGAGAAGGGGAGATGGTGAGAGAGGGAGATGGCGAGAGAGGGAGATGGGATGAGAGAGAGGGAGGGGTGAGAGAGGGTGAGAGAGGGAGATGGTGAGAGAGGGAGATGGTGAGAGAGGAAGAGGGTGAGAGAGGGCGATGTTGAGAGAGGGAGATTGTGAGAGGGGGAGAGGGTGAGAGAGGGAGGTGGTGAGAGAGGGAGATGGTGAGAGAGGGAGATGGTGAGAGAGGGAGAGGGTGAGAGAGGGAGAGGGGTGAGAGAGGGAGGTGGTGAGAGAGGGAGATGGTGAGAGAGGGAGATGGTGAGAGAGGGAGATGTGAGAGGGGGGAGAGGGTGAGAGAGGGAGATGGTGAGAGGGGGAGATGGTGAGAGAGAGGGAGATGGTGAGAGAGGGAGAGGGTGAGAGAGGGAGGTGGTGAGAGAGGGAGGTGGTGAGAGAGGGGAGATGGTGAGAGAGGGAGATGGTGAGAGAGGGGAGGGTGAGAGAGGGAGATGGTGAGAGAGGGAGAGGGTGAGAGAGGGAGGTGGTGAGAGAGGGAGAGGTGAGAGAGGGAGATGGTGAGAGAGGGAGAGGGTGAGAGAGGGAGATGGTGAGAGAGGGAGAGGGTGAGAGAGGGGGAGATGTGAGAGGGGAGATGGTGAGAGGGGAGATGGTGAGAGGGAGAGGTGAGAGAGGGAGATGGTGAGAGAGGGAGATGGTGAGAGGGGGAGAGGGTGAGAGAGGGAGATGGTGAGAGAGGGAGAGAGTGAGAGGGGGAGATGGTGAGAGAGGGAGATGGTGAGAGGGGAGAGGGTGAGAGAGGGAGGTGTGAGAGAGGGAGAGAGTGAGAGGGGAGATGGTGAGAGGGGGAGAGGGTGAGAGAGGGAGAGGGTGAGAGAGGGAGAGGGTGAGAGAGGGAGATGGTGAGGAGAGGGAGGTGGTGAGTGAGGGAGATGGTGAGAGAGGGAGATGGTGAGAGAGGGAGATGGTGAGAGGGGGAGAGGGTGAGAGAGGGAGAGGGTGAGAGAGGGAGATGGTGAGAGAGGGAGGTGGTGAGTGAGGGAGATGGTGAGAGGGGGAGAGGGTGAGAGAGGGAGAGGGGGGAGATGGGAGTCGGTTTATCAGGATCGCTTAAGAGTTGTCAACTATGGCAGCTTTCACTAATGAAAAGAGAGCAGAGCGTGCAGTTCATTTTGGTAAACATGCAGTTAAGACTATCCGCCCATATGGTCCATAATTATATCTGCAATATCCCTCCATTTACTTCCATTTTATCCATTGCCGGGTAGAAGGGGCAGCAGTGTAAGCAAGCATTCGGATGGAAAACAGATGTTCAAGCCACCTAAACTGGCTACTCTGAGTGAAGCAGCGTCTCTACTCTGAGTTCCTCCTGTGTGAGATATACGTAAGCTTTGTTTTACCCCGACTGTACGCCACATTGGTGATGTGCGATAAAAACTCAGACTTTAAATACAAGTTGTAGTAATTGATCTGTTAATAACATTGTCTATCAGGTTTACAATCAAAGACCAGGACCCTACCCTGGAGTCAGACCAGTGGTTGGGTCTGGACTACACACACACACCCACCCACACATAGTCTGTCTGAGGAAGGATGGGGAAGTCTGCTCAGGTTGCTGCCTCTGCAACCAGGTGATGAAGAAATTGGATTGATGCATGATCTGTTTTAAAAGGGTAGTTTTCTCAACTCAATGGAAATAAATTGGGAAAAAATTAATGTAGAAACTTTATGTTTATTTATAAAATTTATTTTTTTACTTATAACACATAGAAGTGTATTTATAATTAATGAATTAATGAGCTCTGAGCAGGTAGCCTGGTTGTTTACAGATGCTCTCTATGGACAGGACCATTTTGAGGCCCTGATAACACGGAGACGCTGTGACAGGAGGAGGATAGAGTTGACTAGTGGATTGGCCTTCCATTCACACGGCGTTGGTGCTTCACAGGAGTACAAACGCAAGCTTTAATAAATGGCGTCTTGAATGTAACAGAACGACTGTATCGCAGCAGTGTGAAGAAAAAGGTGCGAAAAAGGCCGCGATGACCTCAGCACTCCCCCCATACATCTGAACATGCGCAGTAGCTGAAAACAAACATTAACAACAATGGCGGCGGATCAGCTTATGCTATGTGTGCTTCTAAAAACTAAAAACTTAAGCTAAAACCTAAAGCTAAAACTAAATCATGCAAAGCTGTACTTTCAGTTTCCATTTTCGCTGCTGCTGTTAAATGTAGAATGATGTTGGCGCATTATTTTCTGTCTTTGCGGGGGCCGGAGGAGGATATTGTTGAGGAAGTGGTTATAGTAGCGGGTGTTGCACGTGTCGCATTGTTAAGTTCCACTGCCCCTATTGGCCGGGCGCTAGAACAACCTAATTATCACTCGCCATGTAGACACTTTGAACTTCAAGTTTAGCTTGGCTGCGTCTCCGTGTAAACAGGGCCTGAGCATGAGACTGATTAGAATGAATGTGTCATGTGGCAAACGGTGACAGTTGTAATGCACTGGGAAGCTCTGGCCTCATGCTGGCACTGGTTCACTGGGCGGCCATCTGCGGCCCATGACAGAGAGCAGAGCCAACGCATTTCTGTACAGGAGTGTAGGGAGAAAACACACACAAACACCTCTTGCAATCAATTTACTGTGGAGGCAACCATTTCCACCATTGTGTCGAGAGTTACATGCAGTAAACGTGGACACAATTACTCTTTGAGTAATTCATGGCCTAAAGGCGCCGTCGTTCTTTCGCTTTTCACTGCACCATTTACTTCCATTTAACACCACTCATGTGAGGTAATGACAAAAGCCAATATATAAGAAACTGGGAGGCACAATGAAAGCCTTCAATAACAGTCTACCTACAATAGTTGTGAAGGATAGAAGTGAAGTCAATCATCGTAGCGCGGCTATTATTGTTATCAAAACGTAATCAGTTCGTCTGCATGTGTTTATACGGACGTTTCCATGCACATTGTTCTGAGCGCATGCTGATTCACATAGACCTTGCATAGTCTCATTATATTTAATCACTAAAGTTTGAATACCTGAATGAATGTGAATACTTCCTAATAGGCAGTTTTTTTAGTTCTCTGTCACGAAAGGCTCCTTACCTGAGTGCGACCTTTAAGCCTGGTTTGGATCTCGGCCTCTCTCTGAATTAATGGATGACAAATTGTATACTTTATTCCACATCGAGAAATCTGTCCTCTGCATTTGACCCATGCTGAATGCCACGGGTCTCTGTCAGGAGCAGTGGTCACCGTACAAGACTAGGATTTTACCTATTGTATACTATTTTTAGTGATACTTGGACTTTAAAAATCAAATAGGAAAGATGCTTACAGTGCAATACCCCATACAACACTTCTGGGGCTATATTTCTGTTGGATTTAGACGACATGGCAGACAGAATCATTTCAAAAAGCTCCCCCCTGACTTGAACAATACTATCACAGTTCTAGTATCAGTACATTGGAAGAGAGTTTTTATGGCACTTTCATAACTTGGAGGAGCCCAGAACAATTCATAGCACCAAGACAGATTCATTTGTGCGTGTTGTGTGTTTGTGTGTGTGTGTGTGTGTGTGTGTGTGTGTGTGTGTGTGCGTGTGTGAATTCAAACCAAATAAACAGTTGTGGACTCAGATAAAGCTTTCTATTTCTCTGACATTATGCATGCTCCTATCACTTGCCAAATGACTATTTACAACCTGCTCTCAACACACAACACACTGTGTGAGCAAACTGAGGATGTGGGAGGGAGGGCAGCTTGTCTTTCATGTTATGTTTGAGGTTGTCTGGTATTTACGATGGCAGAAAGCTTTAACAACAAGTTACACAGAAGTGTGTGTATTTGTTTAAACATTTGATAGGCTTGTGTCTTGCAGTAAATTGCCAAAAACAATATGAAGTTAAAGCTGCACTAACTGACTTTATTTTTGTATTAATTACTAAAATGCTATCCATGTCCGTGTAGCGCAGGGGTGCCCAAAGTGGGGCCCGCGGGCCAAAGTTGGCCCGCCAGACCATTTCAGTTGGCCCGCCAAACATTGCCCACCTCCGCTGTAAGTTTCTATCTGCGTCCCTCAGCCTCGCTGAACAAACAGTCACGTGTCTGAGGTCGCGCGGGCGCATAGTCGCCCTCCGATCTCCAACTGTCCTGTACTTAACTGTTGTATCGAGATACACTCCTCACTCATGGTTCACATCAACTTGCACTAAAATGTTTTTTAAAATCAAACACATCTTTCAAAACAATTGGGTGCAAGGCCCCTTTATGTTCTTTTTTTCAGCCTACTATTATTATTTTTTGGAGCTATTTAATGTTTTATCAAATTGAGAGGATTGTGCTGCCGAACTGCCACTCCCCCTCCTCACCGGAGGGAAATGGCGAGTGGAACTATTCACCTGCGCAATCCGCACCCACCCGGTGTGTTAAAAAGGACGGACACAAACACTTCAGAGTGAGTTCAAGCAGGACAAGCAGGGATCGCAGCGCACAATCCACGCAAGTAGAAGCAACAAATACTGTGCAAAACAAACCCTTCTACAACCCCATGAAAGAAGCCGGTAAGCGCCGTCCTCACTCGCGATCATTGAATGTCAGAACTTACGCTGAGTTTTATGATGCGTTCAAGAGCCCTTTGGAGGAGCGGAAACACGGACTCTTTAACAGTTACTTTGTTTTGATTGTTTATAAATGTTGTACTGTGTTTAGGCAAAACAAAACAAAACTCCAGGAACAAATCAGGGTTAACTAGTCTGATTTTGTTAGTTTAATATTCAGTTCACTACTAATTGAGAATACTTTCCCTATGTTAAAAATATTGTTAAAACAGAGTTAAAACCTGGTCATGTTTAGAAAATGCAGTTAGCAATTATGTTCCTAAATTCATTACTTAATGTTAAAATGTATTGTTTAAAAGTGTGCTAAAACCAGATCTATTGATCAGTGATGTCTCCCCTTTTTGATAAAAGCTAAGATAAAGTAATATGATTCAAATGTAGTTAAAAAGTATTGTTCAAAATAAATATATGAAAATAGACTTGGAAATTGCTTTGGCTCAGTGCAACAGAGATAATAAAAATAAAGAATAAAAAACACTTCTAAGGAATAAATTTAAATTTAAAATAGAGTTACAGTTACTATTTACAATATACAAGTGCACATGGTGCACACAAAATGTATGTTTCTGTTCTCTTGAGGTTTTATTATATGATTTTAACCTTTAAATAAGCCATGACAGAAAATCTCCCTCCTCTGGACCCTGATTACCCGGCCGGAATCTTTCCGTACTGTAGTCTCCTCAAACCTGCATATTTCCCTGGAGTCTCCACTTCACTAAGACTGTGTTGATTTCATTCATTCAGCTGTGATTCGTGATGGACAATAATTAATGCATTTAAAAGAACTTGATCAAATCTACATTTATTTGTGTTTCATGCATAATATCGGTGTATTTGGCCCGCGGCCCACTGGCAAATTTTTACTTTGGCCCTTGGAAGCAAAAGGTTTGGGCACCCCTGGTGTAGGGCATTGGGATATACGTCCTTTTGAAGAAAAAGTAGCGCAGATTTGTGCTGGCGTGGCATTATATTTTAGATCGAGTTTTGATGAAACAAGGAAGAGAATGTGTTTCGGGTCGCAGATTGTGACCAATCACAGCGAACCACTAGCCCCCACTTTCGTGAGAAATCTACAGGTCTGTTAGCATAGACGGCTGAGTTAGCACAACAAGCGGCGGAGCTAACCTGAAACTTTCTCGTCTTCGTCACCGGGTACTGCTTACACAGCGAAACAGCCATCCAAAAGAAAGTCTCGTTCCTCCGCGCTTCCCGGTTCTATCGTTCTATGGTCACGCCATCCACGTGCAAATCCATATCCATGTATTATCCATATTGGGAGACACTAGCTCCGTCCCAACAGTGGGTGTGTGTGGGGGGCGATAGCTTTGTGGGTGCGGGGAGGGGAGCAGAAAGAGAGAGGCCAGCGAGTCCGCGGCTTCAAAATCCCAAAGTCAGTTAGTGCAGCTTTAAATAAAGTTGTTCAACCCAACAAGACAGGCCCTCTCTTTTGGCCAATCTCATCAAGTACAGCTGTCATACACTATATGGTCATTTGAAGGCAAGTTTGCACAATGTTTATTACACAGATATTGGCATTCATTTAAGAAAAAGTTGTTGGTATTATGTAATCACGTGAAATCTGCGGTTGCAGATATAGGCCTATTTACCATTTGGAGTGTGAACATGATGCAAATCACATTGGGTTTGATTCATCTTTCATCTTCAAAGAGTTTTAATGTTGATTAAATATGTTACATGCTTCGTCATCTTTGAGTGAATGTGACAAGTACCAAAGAGATCATCGGCTGTTTGATAATTATAGTATATTACAGCATATGCAGCTACAATAATGAATTGCATGTTTTTTTAAGCTTTTGTATTTTCCATTCCCAGTTTGTAATGATATTTATCTGCCTACAGAATATACGTACATATTATTGTGAAATACCGGTAAAGCTGAGCTGATGTCTTACAGCTGACATTTTCAAAGCATTTGGCTGGTTTCAAGTTGTTATGAGCTTGATTTGAAAATTAGAGAAACCTTAAATGTACTTTTTCCCGGCATTGCAAGAGCAGCTGGACTGGAGGGGCACTTCTAATGCTATTTTCAGTGGTATTACTTTCTTCATCACTGTAGTTACTGCCGGACACCTCTGAGAAATGCAGATGAGCGGCTGCTGAGCAGTACCTACAGTACAGCGATGCCCCGCTGTGTTAAGTGAGTTTGAGATGGAACGTCCTTAAAGACACAAAGGCCGGCCACAGAAAACTACACCAGGCTCTGGACATAAATAAGGTTTCATTTAGCTTATTGTCGCTGTAGGGAAATGTGTCCTCTGCATTTGATAGTTCTTCCAACCCGTCAGGAGCAGTGGTCTGGGGGTGCTCAGCTTGGGCAAGACTAAGTTTTGGGGAATATGTGAAACTGGAGCGCCTGGAGGAAACCTTTACAGGGTTATAACAATGAAGCTTGTATTACTTCTTGACAACAAAGCAAAATTGTTGATGAGACTGAAATCAATCCTGACCCAAAGTTGTTAAAATTGAGATGACATTTCTCCTTCTGTTGCCAATGCTTCTGACAAAGCTTCAAGTGTTATCTCTGCAAACCTTAGAGTTGCTTTTGTGGTTAGCATCCCTAATGTGCAGTGTCATCTTTTTCATACACTGGTGATATGCATTTGTTTCGCCGGCAGTAACAGCAAGGCCAACGATCAGACACAGGTCGAATGGGCAAAGAGAGGCAGTAACTACACATCCCTGTCACACTTAACAAGGCAGCCATCCTTATCCCGAATTCATTATTGTTTGGACAAGACTCTTGGCTGTTACAGCCCGTGTAAGTTGTTAGTGCAGAGCAGAGGTGGGAGGGGTTCTTTTGCATTGATCAACATGGTCTAAAGTCACATGATCTCTCATTTACTGAGATACTTTGCACTTGAATTTGTTTGGATATTTAAATTCAATGCAAATGCTGTTGTTTGATATGTCTCACCCAGAAACCATTCATAAAATACTTCAGAGGCCAACAAATGTTGAGCATAGACAGGCGGCACTGCTCAAGAATCATTGATCATGTCATATTTGCACATCAGATAATTTATTCAAGACCATCCTCAATGCAATGACCTCAGACCAGTCTGATGCACGTCATGAAGGTGCTCGAGTGACTCATCCTGAGCTCAGACCCCTGGTGGACCCTCTGCAGTTTGCAAATCAGGCCCTTGTTGGAGTGGACAATGCTGTCATCTACCTGCTGCAGCGTGCTCACTCACACCTGGGCAGTGTTAAAGGCTCAGTGAGAATCATGTTCTTTGATTTCTCCAGTGTCTTTAACACTATTCAGCCCTTTCTGCTGAGTGAGAAGCTGCTCGGGATGTGTGTCAACTCCTCCATGGTTTCCTGGATTGCTGACCACTTTTTTAGCAGGCCCCAGCACGTGGGGCTAGGGACCTATGATACCGAGGTCAGTAATGTAGGAACCCCCCAAGGCACTGTCCTCTCTCCATTCCTGTTCACTCTGTACACCTCTGATTTCCAGTACAACTCCGGGTCCTGCCACATAAAGTTCTCTGATGACTCTGCGGTGGTGGGGTGTATCAGAGATGGACAGGAGCTGGAGTACAGGACACTAATTTCACACTTTGTTGAGTGGTCCGAAGCCAACCAACCACTTCAGGAGGAAGAGGATGCCAGTGGAGCCCATCACCATCCAGGGCACAGATGTGGAGATGGTGGACTGCTACAAGTACCGGGGAGTCCACGTGAACAGCAGACTGGACTTTAAAGGAGAACTCCAATGCTGTGTACAAGAAGGGCATGCGCAGACTCTATTTCCTGACGAAGCTCAGATCTTAAGGTCTCCAGCGCCCTTCTCTGCGCTGTGGTCTGCTGGGAGAGCAGCACCACCAAAAGGGGCCTCTCCCGGATTGACAAGCTGATCCGTAAAGCTGGGCAGGTTATTGGCTGTCAGCTGGAGACATTTACAGCAGTGAGAGACAGAGGGACACTGGAAAAACTGCTCTCCATCATGGACAATCCAACACATCCAGTCTAGCTGACTATAGAAGGGCAAAGGAGCTCCTTCTCCCACAGACTCCCACAGACTCCTACAGCTCCGCTGCCACAGTGAATGGTGCAAGAGCACGTTCATGCCACACTACATCCTGCTATTCGACAAGTCACCGCTCTGTGACACATACATCTGCTTTGTCCTTGTATATATTTGTGTATATTGACTTTTGCTCTGTACACCTGTATATTATAGGTGTACTATCCTATTTTCTCTGTTTTTCTACTGTAAATGTGTACTGTACATATTCACAGATATGTACATTTCTGAGAACTTCTATCCAGATTATTCTATTCTCACAAATACTTTATCATTATTATTGTTATTTTTAGATTGTTATTTCAACATTATTTTTTTATTGAGAAATACTATGCAAGCAACTGTGACAACACAATTTCCCTTGTAGATCAATAAAGTCTGTCGAAGTCTAAGTCTAATATTCTAAATTTCCCCACTGTGGGACGAATAAAGGAATTCTTATCTTATCTTATATGGACTGTGCTCATTATTAAACATGACTGTAAATGCAATATTCAACTGTAGTCCCTAAAGGCAAGGTGTGAAATACTCCCCATGAACATCATAAACAACGATACATGGTATATATGTATAAAGCTCAGTGAAGTTAGTTAAACATTAGAGAAGGATATTTAAACAGATAACAGCACAAATACAATGACATACATGCAGTGCCATATAACAGTTCTACTCTCACACTACAAAAGCAATATTGTTTTTTACCTTTTTGAATGTAATGACTTACAGCAATCCTGTCCGTGGTTATAAATAACTACTGGGCCATCCAGAGAAGAATGGGAATGCCAGATGGCTTTGTTATCCTATAGGAGGGTGGGTTTTCTCTGGTGAGCGTCCTTATATGACAAGACACAAAAGTCATTATGCAGAAAATTACATCTTGAATACTTAACTAAGCATATGGTCAAATGGTATAAAACAATACAGTCAATTTGCCTTTCACAAAGTCTCCAAAGTCATTCCTTCAGGACTGCTGTTTTGTTTGAGAATCATTGTGGCGTGTTACAGTCGACCATGCCCTGGTGCGTTGGGGAAAAGGTCTTTCTGGGTAAACTAAATATATGTTTAATCCTCTCTGCAAATAGTCACAGAAAAAAAAACAACGAGTCTCTAAATCCTATTGGAGGAACCAGACCCCCTCCCTTCTCTCTCATGGGCCTCTCCATTTCTAACTTTTTCCCATTGGTTTTGGAGTTGTTCGTTGCTGATGCAGTAGGGTCCAAAGACAGTGGTGGTCCGAGTCGTTTAACATTTCTTAACATCTATGGACATTGGTCACCTCTCTATGGAGAAATGTCTCTTATGCGTTTGTTATTATTGCATTTCCTGTGTTCGAACTGTTTGATCTGTTGTGGAATCAACAAGTTTGTAAAGTCCTTCCGAGACAACTGCTATACAAAAATAAAGTGAATAAGCAGTATATTTTGCCATACATGCTGACAATGGTGTAACATTGAATAACCTTCTGACTTAGTTCATACTGGTGACCACACACGTGAATTATGAGAATGTGAAATGTCATAATTTATCTCAATAGGATGGCATTGGGAAAATATAATTACAACATGTATTTTAATAATGCAATGAAGGTTTAGGCTTTATAAGTATTTTTTAACTTCTGCCTATTCCTTTGAGCTCTATGAACAAACACTGTATTTTTGTTGTTGCTGTATCAGCTGTATGTGTGAGCTCAAATAAACTATCTGAACTGAACTGAAATACACATGAATCTGCTCAAAATAACACCCTAAAACAGTCAAACAAAGCATATGTGATGTCTTTTATATCCAGTATGTAAACTTCGGGTTTCGATTGTAATTACCTGGAGGTTGCTAAAGCATCATAGGCGCCGCATTGTTGGAAAAACAAAGACAAAGACCAAATCTCTCTGCACCAAACACACTCATTCATCATGAAAAACAGCAGCTATATCTTTGGAAGCGTGCCATGAGTAAAACATTAACAAGGGCATTAGTTATGAATAGCTTTTGTTTTATGATGTCAAAGGCAGCGCAGACAGGATGATTACGCGTTGATCTACCGTACCAGGCTGTCCAGGGCGGTGCTGCGTAGGCATTCAGCCCCAAAGCAGCCGACACCTCCACTGTCATATTTAACCTTTACACCTGCGCTCTCAAAGGCCCGCTGGCAATGTCAAACTGATTATACTTTCAAAAGTGTGTGTGTCCTGTAGACATAGATTTAACAGTACTGCTCTGGCTTTGTGCAGTAAAGTTTGAGTCGCCATTATCTGACCTCTAACACCGTAATACACGTATCTTGAACAATTTTTTTTAAATCAAGATTATTTTTCATGATTTTTCTTTCATTCTAAAGCCCCTGGAGCTCTAAGCAGAAGAGTTTTCCGTGAAAAACTGTGCAAGACTACCCCGGTGTGCACCAAATGACAATAGTAATTTTTCTCAAAGGACTTCACAAAACCGTCAAGTTCGCCAACACAGATCAGATCACAGCACAAGATATGCATTGATACAAAACACATAGAGCCATTGGTCCATAAGGTTCAAGGTTCAAGGTGACTTAATTCGTAACAATAGGTAGATTATTTTTGCAGTTAAAAAGAGAGAGACTTGGCATCTACACAAAACATATTTAAAAAAATCACATTTACACAAACAACAGAAACACAAATATTTAAAACCCAACACATGAGTAAGAAAAGAAGGTAAGAATGGTCAAGTCTCCAGAGCTCATCCGCCCCTATGCTCTGGGGGCCAATGCAATGTCCATAAATGTTGATAAAATGTCGTTGAATGTCCTGTGTCGTCATGTCAACGCACCACTGAGCCTTTTTTGTGTGTTTCTCTCGATCCCAAACATGAGTGCATCATTGTAAAAACAGCACATACCTGCGACCTTCCTCCTGCTTTGACTAATGGTGCTCTGTGGGCTGTGTCTACTCGGCGGAGGCAGCTGTAAGCTTCTCTGGAACATGATTGAAGGCGTTGTTTATTGCAGGCCGCATGTTGTGTGTCTGGCCGGATCGTCCTCATCTGTCTCGTGTTGTGCAAATGTGGAATTACAGAGACAAATGTACGCTCCCAGCTTTTTCTGACGTCCGTCTCGCTCAAACAGTTTTCATGTCTTCTTCTTGTCCTCTGCGATATTACAGGGTAAAAAAGTGTATGCCTTGGACAACATATAAAACATGCAGCAGTATGAATCTGAAGAGTGATAACAGATTAGTCAAGGTCACTGGACGATACAAGGGACAGACATTTATGTTTTTGTAACCTTTGCACAGATAATCATATTGTTGATACTCTGTTTGAGTGGTTGAGTAATGAAGTTGACAGATATCCCCCTCAGTAGTATGTCAAATATCCATCAATGCAAAAATCAAAACCATAGAATCATTTGTAAACTTGGCATATTTTTGAAAAAAGTCATTACTTTGATAAAAATATGTGTTGCTGTTTTGTTTTGTAACTTGTGCTCCATATCATATACATGGTTATGAGCTATAAAGAAAGAAAGAAAGAAGTGAATGAATGAAGGTTGTGGCCTCGCTTCTGTCTCCAATGAAAAGGAGAGAATGAGACCCAGAGTCAGGACAGAAAAAAGGGAGAGGCAGCATTACAGATTTATGCAGCTAAAATCTGGAACGGTTCCTGAAAATGTGAGACAGGCTTCTTCTCTGACAATGTTCAAATCCAGGTTAAAAACAGTTCTGTTTAGCTGTGCATACAACTGAAGGATTCTATATTCACTTTTTTTGATAAACTGTGATTATTAATGATTCTAATGCCTTGTGTGATTGTTTCCATCTTGTTTTGTTCAGCACTTTGAGTTGCCTTGTGTATGAACTGTGCCATACAAATAAATTTGCCTTGTCATGGAGAGTGACATCAGTGTTGCACTTTGAGAGACCACAACAAGGAATTATTATCATGATTGCTATTGTTAATGTTATTAGAGAACGTCTGAGTTTTCGTAGGTGTACAGTGGTATTATATAGCACGTTGTGACTCTGTAAAAGGCTCTATATAAATAAATATAACTTATTTACAGAGGCTATAACACGGTTCAGCTCTCGTGTCTCGCCGTTTTGTGGATTTCTGTGTGTGCCATTTTGCGTGCGTCTTTTCTAGCGTGCTTCTCATGGGCGGCCTGTAAACTCCCCCGACAGCATTTACATCTTGAACCCGCTAGTATGTGACATGATAAAGGCAAGGCATGTTTATTTGTAAAGCGCAGTTCACACACAAGGCAGCTCAATGTGCTGAACAAAAGATAGAAACACAGTGCTCCTGAGAGTCCCGGTCGGTTCATATTTTGACGTACGCTCATTTGAAGAACCCAGTGAGCAGGCTGTTACAATAGTCAAACCTACGGGAAACAATTGCATGCAGAAGAATCTGAGTTTGCTTCAGGCATTATATTTTTGATTCTGGGAAAGTGTTTTAGATGGTTAAAAGCTGCTGATGTTAAAGTTAGAAGAAAGATGTTGTGGCTTGTGTGTGTTGTGACTAGTTCAGACTACCATGGTCTTCCCGTAGCCCTCAGTCCTGCTCCTGCCCCTCAGCTGTCCTCTGCAGCTACCTTAGACAGTGTACGCTCGGCTTTTGACAGCTGGAGCAGCGCAAACATCGTTGCAATTTCACTTCAACAGTCGTGGGTTCAACTCATTAGAAAAGAGTACAAAGTGTGTGCGAGGGGATTTTACAGCCTTAAAACATAAAGCTGCTACTTCAAAGATTTTGCTTATTGCTAGTTACTTTTAAAAATGCAACCTCTGTGATCAACAAGAGACCACTGTATTCAAAAATCTCACATGATTTTTATTGTCAACGTTGACTCAATCTATCCGACTTTGGAACGCAATCATGACTCTACGTTGTTGAGAAGGTTCAAATTATGTGTGTTTCAGGTGAAATATAATTCTATGCACATAACACAGCAATGAACTCCTGATATAACTTGAATTATGTAATAGCCTTTAAACTTTAATGAGTGAATTGCCTGGAGTGGCCGGTTGTTTTAAAATTAGTATTTTAAAGAAGTCAGGTTGCATAATTCATACAGGGCACCTTCAAACAAAAGAGGTGGAGGAGCTTCAGGATGATGGTGGCTTCTATAATTTACAAAAATGTTCATTGACTTGCTAAATTACTATTTCTCTTCTTCTCTTCCCAGCACATGTGCAGCGGCCCATTCAAACAAGTTCAGCTCAATTAATAGCTACTCGCATTTCACAGCATTGTCTTTGCCACAAGAGATTCGTCAAAAGACAAGTTCGTGAAAACTTTCCCAATTATAGTGAAACTTAAAAGCTTGGTTTACGGATCTACATGATATGTCAGTGATGAGCGAGGACGGCTGCCTCTGCGGAATACTGCATTTTAAACATTTTTAATCACTTTACTCTTCACACTCACTGGTGGCAGGTTGATACATATTTTAATAGGTCAAAGTTGGAGACACTTTAAAGGTAGTAGAGAATGACCGAGCATAGATCCTGTGAGACTTTATTTTCACTATTGTCTCTATGGAAGCTATGGAATGTCCAAACAAGCGCTATATGAGTATGATGTATTATTATCGGAATACATTATTATTATGACCAGAACTTCTTCCTGTAGTCAACCCGCCATCATAGAAGGAAAAATATTATGGCTGCAGATGGATAGAACGTTAGCATTATCATTATCATTAATATTATTATTATTATTATTATTATTATAAAGAGGAAACAGTCTTGGTGTGCTATCGAGGAGGATTGAGACATTTCATTTACATTCCAAGGACTGTCTTGTTTGTCAGAATTCTTATTGTGTGACCTGTTTGGGGCCGGACTGCTCGGTCCAGGGTGTGTGCAGGTAGCAGCCAGCAGAAATGATCTGCATCTCATACGTACCATACCCTCTCTGTGTATACAGAGGGTGGTATTGTGGTATTAAGTGAGGAATAGTGAGTGATCGTGTGTTAAGCCAGAAGCTCCCAACCATTTTAATTTTGTCATGGTTTTATAAAGTTTTTTTTTTTTTTTTTACACTCAAAGACACTTCAGATTACCTTACTTATTCTCTCATATACACAGTGGTGATAAACTACTACTGTAGCCACAGCTGCCCTTCGGGACACGGACAGAAGAGAGGCAGCCAGTCTGTGCCATCCGCCCGCTCGATCACCAACCATTCTTGTACACACCAGACTCATTCTAGTCAATGCAGGAGAATGGAAGAATATAATCCTCAATATATCTGAAGAGAAAAATCTTTCCTCTTTTGATTGAAATCGGACAATTTCACCCGTGTCAAAAAGTGTAAAGAAATATAAGCACATTTCTTTGTGTGAAAACTATACGTACAGATTTTTCAACTTACAATGTCACCAATATCACTGTTGCAAATCCTTTCTAGACCAATTTCCCACCTTTCCTCTCTCCTTTTGTGGGTGGTGTGTTGACGACTTGGTAAATGGTCTTGAAATTAGATTGAGCTTCACAGCCTTTCATCTGCTGCTGTGATCCTGCTGAGTTTTCTCAACGGTCTTGGACTTTTTCCCTGTTTTCATAATGGTCTGAAAGATTTCTGGCAGTGGTGTTTAAGATGGTGGACAATAGGGGAGCAGACAGCTTTGGCCAGCGCGCCCACCAGAGAGGGGGAAGTGATTGCTCCCATCTAATGTGCAGGTGCTAGACAAAGTGGCTCAAATATGGATCCCAGCTCTGGACCTGATGGAATATCGCTCGTGCACATCACCAGCCATTGTACAACCTCACGAATGGCTGTCAGGGAAGGATGGGAATACAAAAAGTCTTTACTCAGACTGTGGATTTAGGAGTGAATGAAGTTTAAGCTTGTCCAGATGCTTTTGGTGAGGAACAAACTAAGAATACTTTAAATATATCATAAAAAAAAAATCACGTTAGTTTTAGTCCAATTTAGCTTTTCAGACTGAAAGGCTATAATTTAAATCGTTTTCCCAATGCCTTTCCTTAATTTCCTAACCAAATAAAAAATAAATAAATAAATAAATAATTGTCTGAAGGTTTGATGTACTATTATTATTATTATTATAACAAATCTAAACAAAGTTATCATTCTGCACTGC